AAGCAAAGTCCCATTTCTTTCACAAACCATGTTGTGTCCTAATTGAGAGATTTAAGGGAGCCGTGAGCAGAACTGAAACCTCCGCTGCTTCACCCTCTTAAAACATAAATTAGTCTAATGACTGAAACTTTTCAGTGTGCTCCCCAGCTGCTCTAGCCAAAACTCATTATCCCAGATAATGATGTAGACATTAATGGCGTCTGTTGCACCCTCAAAGGCTGTTCACTCAGTAAAAGCATGAATGTGTGAGCACAGATAAGTCTAAAAGATTCGTTTTTCCATCTCATCATTGACGTTTGCGTTTATTAGTGTCAACTATGTTGAACTCCTGAAGCCTTACCCCTAGAACTTCTCATTTGGCCACATTTCCACCTCAAAATTAAATGTATTTTATGTGGGTTTTATGCAAAAGACCAACACAATAGAAGAAGAATGACTCGAATGAAAATCTGAACCATTAAAATCTGAACCATTCGTGCAGGTTGTGACAACAAATTGCACAAACTCTAAACGGATGGTGGCAGCAGCATCACCCTGTGCAGATGCATTTCTCTAGCAGTGGCCGAGAAACTGGACAGACTAGGAGAAAAAATGAACTGAACTAAATCTAAGGCAACCTTGAGAGAAAACCGGTCGGAGGTTGCAATGTATTTGACTCTCAGGTAAATATCCGTCTTCCAGAAGGACAATGAAATTAACCAGAGCGATTTTATTGGAATGGATCAAACTGAAGCTTTGTGATATTTTAGAATGACCTAGTCAAAGTCCAGACCTTCAGTTTCCAGACGTGCAAAGCTGGTAGAGAGATACAGTGCAGCACATTTCTATAAAAATATTCCAACTGTGGATACAAGCATAAAAATTAGCATGTTTAACTCTGAGGTCCTATGTTTGTCATGAATCCTATTAGCCACTTGAATTTCAGGATGGCGGCCATTTTTAACAGTTTGCTTTAGCTTCTGCTAATTTCTTATGCGTCAGCGCAAATTTTTTTAAAATGTGTTTTGCAAACTAGCACTAGCTTCCACTACTTTTACAAGTGTTAAGTGGTTTAGCATTAGCTTCTGCTAATTTTTTTATGTGTTTAGCAGTTTAACGATAGTGGGGCTAGATTCTTGCTTAGCGCATTATTAGTGAGTGAACCCAACTTTTTGCCCACCACTGGCAATAACAACTACATATTTTCGTGCAAACATATACTCTCCATTATAACAATGGCGGCCATTTTGAAAAATGTCCACCACAAAAAAGAAACACAAGATCAAGAAAATAAACATTATTACTACAGTTCAAAATATATGGGCTATGATTTGACACCAAACGTATTGATCTAATGTTCGATTTTGGTGGAAAAATGATATTTTTTAATGACAACCATGGTGGTTATCTTTAAAGAAATTGAGCAAATATGCAACAAGTAAATATGATTTCTATGGGTCCAATTATGAATGATTTGACAATAGAAGTATTCATCTGGGATAAATTGTGGCAAATTCAGTGCAAAAATACCTTTTCCTTTGCGAGCATCTTGAAAAACGGCTGCCATCTTGAATTTTTATGTGGCCAACTGTTTTTCCCAAAAAAGGAAGCCTCTGGGAACAACTATGCCAAGATACATTCCTTTATCAGCACGTAAAAGATTGTTGCTGAAACATTCAATTATCCGAAACGACTTGCGGCAGGAATTGTGGTGCTGATGTAGGAGGGCTAAATGCTATCTGCATACTTTACATTTCAAATGTTGATTTGCAAAAAAATGTCAATTCACATCTATGCTCTGCAACAATGTGTGTTTTGTGCAGCACATCCTTGTTCGATGCAGCCAACCATCAAGCTTAAACCTGCACTTTTTCTCCCTGCACAGAGGGACAGCGTTCGGCATCCTCAATGGGATCTGCAAGTTCGCAGCCATCATTGCCAGCTTCATCTTTGCAGCCTTCATCGGCATCACAAAAATCATCCCCATCTTCCTGGCCTTCGCCGCCCTCGTCTGTGGAGGTCTGGTGGCCCTGAAGCTGCCTGAGACGCGGGAGAAAATCCTCTCTTGAAAAGCCAAACTTCCTGCTGCTTCAGATCCCCAGACACAAACGGCAAACTGAACGATTTGTATTTCTGTGGTTACTTGTTTTTGAAATAGTTACCAAAACCTGTATGGTGGCCTACATCAACCTGCGGTAGCTCTCCGCCACGGGAAAACTCCTCAGGCTGCCCAGCGTTTTTCTGTCACATCATGTCTTTGTCTCCCCCGCTCTCCGTTCACACACACCCGTTCTGTCTGAGGTCGGTGTAAAAGATTAAAACAATGTGTCTGTGTTTGAATGGTTGTGTAGAGATCATCTTACCATGTTGTGCTTTGGTTTCATTCCCTCCTCTTGATGAAAGAGCGAGGACTTTTAGTGATAACTTGAAAACGACGAGACTCACTGCTATGTCTCCGCAGCAGAATTATTCTAATTTTGAAGAATACAAAAAAAAAAACCACAACCAAACACCTTGAACATTCACCCAATGTTTGTTCGGCACAACCTCGTGGTGTCTGTAGTTCGTGTTGCCCAGTTTGTTCTCTTTAGGTAAAACCAATTTATGAAATGTAGATCTCATTTTCTAAAAACGATTTTAGCTCTCCTCGGGTTTCCCAAAAGATCCGGATGCAACTCGACCAGGTTCTGTGTCTCTGATATGTCCTGTTTGTTCCCCATTGTAGTGTTTTAATCTGTATTGTAACATGTAGCATTAGGGTCTTTATCGGTCACATCTTGCCATGACAAAGTGTAAGGAACTGTATGTTTTCTTTTCTTTTTTTTTGTCGTTTTTTTTAAGGGAGAGAGAACAATGCAAAACTGTAAGACTAAATGTTTTCATATGATGCTCTCCTTTCAATGCTCTGATGAAGAACTGATTTGCAGAACTTTGCTACATTTCTGACAACATGTGTGAAGATTTTATTTTTGAGCATCGTACGTATTCAGCATGACTGATTTATGCGTGTGAGTTTTATGTTTGTGTGTGTTTGTGTGTGAGAGAGAGAGAGTGTGTGTGATTCTGGATGATATCGGCATGTCTGTAAATTTACTGAGACTCAACAGGCTACTGTTACCGTCTTTGCTGTTGTACACATAGGCCGGTGTAAATTAGCTGTACCATAGTAGTTGTATCATGACTTGAATAAAGCTGACGGATGTGATCCGGCTTCTTTCTTCTTCAAAGATGCAAACAGCGCAGGTTACAACCTTCAGCAATGAAGCTTTTTTTTTTTAGTGTGTGTGTGTGCTTGATTCAACCTTCAAAAGGAGACGGAATATGGTCGAAAATTACCTCATGGCCTAAGAAGCGGATTCCCGTTACCAGAAGCGTTGGAACACATTTGCTCGAGGCAGAGAGATCACCACAGAGTTTTTGAAACTCCTGAGTGTTTCAAAAAGAAACAAAATGCCTTTTGGAGAAGGGAAGGTGATGAGACAGTGGATACAGAGAATGGGAGTGCCAGATTTATGTCTGCAGAGGATGGAGATGCAGGGATTAACCCTAGTGCTGCTCATCGATATGTCCATCATGCTACCAAGGTAACATGAAGTAAAAAAAAAAACAACCTTGGGGCCAACCACGAGAATCAATTCATTTACAGTTAAAAAATATAGAGATGCTCGCATAAATGTTGAGACTGATTTTCTTGTAGCAGCTAAACAAATCTTATTGATAGATTTGTACATTACCAAGACACATGCAAACATACCGTAGTCTGGTTTATTTATTTATTTATTTTATTATTCCTCTTTCTTTTCTCTGTCTCTGAAGAACAGGTTATTTTTTGTTTATCTTACTTCTGTCCCTCCAGCGCTGTGGAGGTTTGGATGAACACTTCACACTGCTGGGCAGCTCATTTTACCGGTCACCAGGGGGCGCCCAAGAGCAATCTCTTAAAGGATGATTGAACGATTGAATGAATTTGTTGGAGCTATTTATTCTGTATTTATTTATCCATTCGAATTTGGCGAGCTTATTCTTAAATTTATATTTTTTGTGTTATTTACAGAGTTTCTTTGCAGGTTAATAATTGTTGATCTCAGTTATGTTTTGTTTTGTTATTTTTCTTATTGATTATTGTTGTTTTCTTTCTGAGTCAGACAGAAAGTAAGGTGGATCAGTCCACTTTCTATAAATGTATTGGCCTGGTAAAGGACCAGGAGGCATTTTACCAGAGCAAGAGAAGTAGATAGAAGAACAAAGAAAAGTTTGAAAGTGGTAACTGCTTGCTGAAAAGGAAAATAAAAGCAATCAAGACAGTCAACAAGTTTGGACATTGTACTTCTTTTGCCTGGGTGAAGAATCCTGACCCCAGTGCCTCATGGTGGCTGATGGAACCTTTTATTAGATGTTTGGTTTGACAAACAATCACAACCACTACAGATTTATTGAATGTGTTTCACATGATCAAATGTATATTATTGCAATGATAATAATAATAAGAAGAAAATCACAATTTTATAAGGAAATTGTGTTTTTGTTAATATAATCATATAGAAATAATTACAAAAAAAATCAGCTCCACCTGGGGCCTCCATGGTGACCCCAAGGCTATAAGCAGCAAAAATTTAAATAATATACAAAAATATGTATACAATTCTCCACAAAAACGCACTTATAAGGAAAAGGACAAAACAACTTATATACATAATTGTCAGTTGTTATCTGTTCCTAACATTAAAGTCAAATAAACTGTTGACTTGTTGAAATTGCATTGTGTTGTTAACCCCGTCCTTCCATGAACCGGAAGAGGTTTGGCCCTCACGTCACACTGAACACATGGTTTGGACCCACGGCAGGGGGAGTGACTTCCGTTTATAACAACAAAAATCCACAATCTAAGAACAAAATGCCACACAACCTCATTGTTAACATTTATGTCGCTCTAGAATAAAGTAACATGTAATTAAACGCTCAGCTGCAAAGCTAATATCGACAGAGTGGCTTTATTTAAAAATGAATCCTACCCCCCCTAATTCCCGATTAATGGTCTCGTCCTTCACCTTCAATGTCACGCCTGTACGGACGGGAACATTGAACGTGCGTGTATAGAGATGAACCATGCTTAATTTTAGGTGTGTGTTTAATTCGGCGAGCACTTTATGCCGACAGCTGCTCGCGCCGCTAACTGTCAACGGCACCGCCTCACAGTAAGTGCTCCTGTTAGCCGTTAGCTGTTAGCCGCTAGCTAACGGCTAACATTGAGGAAGTGTTGGCTAGGTTTTGAAGCTTCGAGTGCACAAAAACCGTACAACTTGTAACAGAACCTTACAGACGGAGCCAATGACAAGGTGTGTGTGTGTTTAGGTGTGGAGTCAGAAGGCCGTTGTTCCTCGGCGCTGTGAGGCGTCAGGAGGCGGAAGCCAGCACGGGAGAAAACTTCAGGTGTGCGCACTGTTATCCATCAGTCCGTCATAATTCAGAAGGATGAGCTACTCACTTGTTACTTGTCACTTTTTTTTTTTTAATAAAAAATATATTAAGCATATTGAGCAGAGGTAAACAAATTGAGTAGTTGTGATGACTCAGTTGAGATGAATCGGACTAAAACACTAGACTCTCGATGTTGAATGATTTTTGGAGGAAAAACTTGTAATGCTTTGCTCATTCCATTTCCAATCTCTCAGCTATTTCCCCCCTTTGCCCGGTCAAGACAGTCCACTGAGATGGGCTGGGAAGAAGTTTGAGGAGTTGCCAATCATTTACATAAAAGCAACATACAACAAGTAAGTGGAGTCATTAATTAAGTTCAGTTTAAAATAGCAGAAGTCGCACTAGTTATTAACATGATGGCCTTAAAAACAAACCAAGTAAAGTCTTAAAGTAATATGTCGGGCTTAGACTTCAAGGTCATTAGTCGGATCAGAGACACTGATCAGGTTAGTTTTTTTTTTTTTTAGGTCAAATCTAAACTCCAATTACAAACAGTTGTGTCTCTTTAAAACGAGCTGGCAGAGGCACAATTTAGTGACTTTATAAAATGAAAGAGATCTGGCTGACCACGTGAGGAATCAAACACAATGATTCAGTGTTGCGATTTGACTCCTGTCTCACTAATCTGAAACCGAAGCAAAGCTTCGGCTATTGGTGAGCATCAATCTAATTTATCGTCTGGCCTCTACTTTAACCCCTTAACCTGCAGCGGAACGCAGCCAACTCTGCGTTAGTGTTGACAATAAATACTCTAAGAGCCGTTCACGGAGTAAACTTCTCCACCCTTCACCAGCACACACATCCAGCTAACAGACAGCGCAGGACAGTCTTTGGTCCGGACGTCCTGTGGCACAGAAGGCTTCAAGAACAGCAAGAAGTCGACGCCCGTCGCCGCGCAGACTGCAGGCATCGCTGCTGCAGCGGTGAGTTTTCTCCTCTAATGCTGAGGCAGAGCAGGACGTATCTGTGGTCCCTGACCAGTGGAGCTGATCATGTCTGCAGAATGTTTTTGGTGTTGGTCCTCAGGGGAGGACTTGTTGGAAGACTAATACATCCTCTATATAAACACAGTATATTTATCTGTATTTTTGTTGTTGCTTTGTTACCAAACAGAAAGCCGTGGTAAAAGGAGTTACGTTTGTCCGTGTTGTGGTCAAAGGTCTTGGTCCTGGACGTCTGGTGAGCAGTTCCTGCATTTTTATGAAGTTCTTCCACATCCATTGTACTTTTTCACTTTTTGTTGTTGCCAATGAATTTTTAAGTGATAGACTTTACACAGAGTATAGTTGTGAGGTGGAAAGAAAGCGACAGTCGGTTTCACTGGACAGGGATTCAGTACTGTAATTTCACTGGAATGACAGCAGCAGGTATTTTGGAGTTTGTAACGGGATTATTGATGGTTCTCTTTTAACTGCCTCACTCCCTTCTCAGATCTGCCCTCAAATGTTTTCTCCGACTCCAGTCCTGGAGTTTGGCAGGACTGGCTTCCTTCTTTCTGAGTGGCCTGGTACAGGATACATTTCATTGGACACAATTTTTCACTACTTTGTGTTGATCTAACTCCTTATATAGTCAGAACATGTGAAAGGGTTCAGTGGGTATTAACACCAAGCTGATCGAATGTTGGTTGAAAAGATAATTCTAACTAGATTTAAAGAGGCTCGATGTGTTGAGCAGCTTCCTCTTCCTTAACCAAATTAAAAAACACAAATGTTTTAGAACCTGGAAGGGCATTGGTGAACCACAATCTTTGAAGCAATATTTAGAGGAAAAACAGAGCGAGCCTTCAGAATATTGTAAAGGGCCGTTCATGACAGGGATAATTAACTCAACCAGAGACGTGTTGATCCATTTCCTTAGTGACTGAAAGTGTCCTTGTCTGTTTTGCAGTCTGCAATCAAAGGCCTGACGATGGGAGGCCTGCAGGTGGTATCGATCACGGACAACACCCCAGTGCCACACAACGGATGCCGCCCACGTAAAGCCAGAAGGATCTGATGCCGCAGAGCTTTGTATGGAAGCCGTTTACTTGGACTCTGCTATTAAAGTGTTTTGTTACGTAACTCTGCTGCCTTTGAGCTCTGCATATTGTGTTTGAGGGGAAACAACAGATGTTAATAAGCAGTTGCTGTTCCTGTTGACTTGTGCACATTCAGTCTCACTGCAGGGAGCTTCATCTGCTTCAGTTTTCACACTGTGGAAAAGAAGCGATGTGCTTTTCTGCCTCTTACTTAAATGTAAGTAAATGTTGCATTTGCAGAATCGTTCAGTCTTCACAAAAATCCTCTGATTTTTGGTAATACTTTTCTTTTGGTATAACCATTGAAGTCTACTTCATTTGCGTGGGACATGTCAGAACAGAACTGTATCAAACATTTACCAACGTAAAGAAAAGTGACTCCTGTCTTTTCTTCTATCCTGATTCAAAGGTCCTCATGTCCATCATCCCATCAGAACCAAACACTTCAGTCCTGCTGGTCAATGTGAATGAGTTCAACTGGTTCAGAATAGCGAAAGGGGAGCTTTTTAGACTCTTATTTAACTTCAAATAAAATACACAAGCATACTGAATTGTTTAGTACTAACTAATCTTTTGGGCGGGTGAATAATTGCCTGAAGTCCACTGAAGCATGGTTCCCAAACTGGTGGATTTGCAATAAACTTTTATCACTGCAGAAGAATGTTGTGAAAGTTCTCATGTGCGAAAAGTTAAGTGTCTTTTATGATATTTTTATGACAGTTTAAACTGTTCATCTCTACTGAAATGAACTGTTGGATGAGCAGCAGTACAGATTCACTGCTATTCCAAACAAATTCAGAAATGTAGCCTTCCGCTTTCACCGTAAACCCCATAAATTTACAGACTAAAAAACCCGTCACTTAAAAAAACGCAATCTGTATAATCTTTATGGCCACTTCATATTCATCTAAATACTTCACATAAAAGTGAGATGAAATGTCATCACGACATCATGGAGTTGTAGATGGTGATGCTGCGAAGAATCTGGTAGCAGTCAGTCTTCCAATAAATCTGAAGAGACCTCTGACTGAAGACTGCAGCAGCATGACGGTCTCATGAGTGTCATGACTTGATATCCGAGAAGAGGAAAACATATTCCACAGTAACACGTCCTGAATGCCACAATCACATTTGCTTTTGCTGAACCTCTTTAAAACTTTTTACATTTTCAAACGACCTCTGAGTTTTGACGTGTCACATGTGATAGAAGTTTAAAGATTCAAAATAAGAGCGGCTGCAACTGATCGAGTAATTCTTTATGCGACAAGACAAACTCAACTGATACAAAATACGAAAACCAAAAAAAAAAAACACAAACCAAAAGATTTCTATACACATCAGCTATACAAAAATACATTTTTATTTCTTTCCTTTACACAAACATGTAGATGTGGAGGACTGAAAACAGCGCAGTTTGAAGGGCCGATTTGCTCTCCTCAGCCTCACATTTAATAAAACTAAATGGAAAACATCAAAAGTGCGTCAACGTTTCAAGAGAATCAAAAAAAAAAAAAAAACAAATATCTTTTCCACGAGTGCGGCACACATGAAAACACTACAGCAGTTCTCAGCAGAAAACACCAGCACAGAGATCGGAGGAAGCTGTTCTGATTTGCTTTGGAGTTTCAGGAAGTGTTTGCGACAGGGTGAAGTGCAGTGGACGAAAAACAACAATTCTGGGTTATCAGTAATTATCCTGGGCTTTTTTGAGGGTTTTTTTTTTTTTAACAGAAAAATGATTTCTGATAAACTGTTATAAGGCAAAGAGTATGAAATTTCTGAAATACGACATATTTGTCAGCAGCATGTTTACGGCTGAGAACTTTGTGTTCATAAGTGCAACATCAGCTTGTGTTTCCTTCACAATGTCCTTGACAGCTCATGAAGTGGAGAAGGCTGTCAGAGTGAAATTCTTCAGGACGGGTTAAAGCAGGGGTGTCCAAACATTTTGTAACCGGGGGGGAACAATTAAAATGATGCCTTTTGTTGAAAAATGCAAATTCTAGCGTAAAAAAAACTTAATGCATGTTTTTTTTAATGAAATGTACCGTCCTGATTTCAACTCAGGAAGTATCTGTATATAATTTTAGATGTATTCTGGGCTACAAAAACATGATATGTGTCCCTTTTGAAAAAAAAAACAAAACAAAACACTTAGTTAGCCTACTTTAATAAATGGATGCACCCAAGTCTACATTCAAGCAAAAAGTTAGCGGATGCTTGTGGTGCTGTGTAGTATCACATTAAGATGAAAGCCAAAAGTGGAGTTAAGATGGTTTGTATTAAAGCTGCAGTAGTAGCTTTTATAAAATAATACTTTTCTTACATATTTGTTCAAACTGTCACCATGTCGTGACAGCATCAATCTGTGAAGAGGAAAAAAGAAAAAAAAACACAGGAAGAAGGCAGAAGACCGAACTAGAAACATCCAATCAGAGCCAGAAGGAGGGCCTTAGCGCTGTCAATCAAGGCTGTATGCCGGTTTCCTCCTTCCCCCGTTCTTTCTGCTACGAAACAGCTTCAGCACACCTTGTCACTATCGCTAATGCTAGTCAGCATGGCCACCAATGACGGCGGATAAACTGTTGTCCTGAAACGGCGAGTTGTTATTCTCCACGTTTAGCAGCACGTTCATGAGGATGATGACCCGGAGCAGTGCATTTCTTCAGGGAGGAAGTGAAGAAGAAAGAGCTTTCCACAGAATATCTGTCTCAAGTTATACTGTTACGACATAGTGAGAATTTGACCAAATATGTAAAAAACATGTTTTATAAAAGTTGCATACTTTTTAAAAATGTCTAATTCATCATTTGGACACCCCTGGGTTAAAGTCAACAAACTGGTAAAGTCTGCAGCAGCTAGTGTTGATCTCGCCTTGATAAAGCCACGTAACCACAGACTGCAGTGGCACAGCAGTCGGGGTTTTCAGGGTGCGAACGACGGCGGGACGACAAAATGGATTTCAATGGGATGAAAGTTCAAGCGTTGGGTGCTTTTCTAAATATTGCACTTTAAAAGCAGAGGATGAAACCCCAAAACTGATTGTTTGAGTACCAACAGGAAGTGCTTGAACATCTGGCCCTCACGCCAGACCCTGGGTTGGGTCAGGAGGGGTGAACTGAAGGGAGTGTCGTCGAGGGAGACGCTTGCCGTCGCCGCCTCACTTCCCCTGGAGGTTGCTGAGCTCAATGTCGTCCTTGCGCCGCTTCTGCTGGGTGAAGAGGGAGCTGAAGGGGTACAGCTTGGCTTTGGCCGGGTAGCGCTGTCCGGCGATGTTCACCTCGTAGTCGCCTCGGTTGATGAATTCGGGGGTGATGGGCGTGGGGAGGCCCTCGGGGCCCGGCGGCGGGGACACGAAGCCCAGGCAGACGTGGCGCTCCAGGGTGTAGCTGTAGGCACTGCTGGTGGTGGTCCCGGCCAGCTGGCCGCTGCGGTAGACGGGCTCGCCCCACCACGGCCACAGGTCCAGCTCCGTGTCGTGGTCCTCCAGGACGAGCATGACGAAGCGGCGGAACACGCCCTCCTGGCGCTGCTGCAGCAACGCCTCGCGGCCCAGGAAGTTGGTGTCCTGTGGAGGAGAGGCACAGACACACGGCGGGATCATCAGCTCACGCGGGCGCGTGTGTGTGTGCACGTTTCCCCAGCGGACGGACCAACCTTGTCAAACTTGACCCTGAACTCCCGTCCGCACTCCAGCGGCGTGGTGAACGTGTCGAGGTCCTGACCCCAGAAGGCGAAGAACTTCTCGATGCGAAGGCTCCTCAGCGCGTAGTAACCGGCGTTACGGATGCCGTACTTCTGCCCCACTGACATCACCTCGTTGTACACGTGCAGCGCGTACTGGAGGGAGTAGATGGACCACATCAGAGTCAGACTTCACTGTGTTTTTCCTGAAACCCCTACCGACATAAATCACCGAACAGAGAAGATGTGACCTGATGTGCAGTCAGAAGTTGATGTCAACCTATTGTCAACGTGCTGATGTCGGGTTTTAGTGGACAACCTCCAAATCATTCTACGAAGGTGGTTGTATCATAAATTTACTTAACTTTTAAAATCACAAATTTGGTTGCTTTTATAGTCAGTCCATGGCCTGGACTTCTGCTTACTTAGACAGATTCTCCATAAAAACACCAGTAACATTGTCCATTCAAGTAACTAAAGTTTTAGAAAAAAAAGAAAAGAAAAAGAAAAAGGAGGGGGTGCACCGATTGCAGTTTTCTGGCCAACCACCAATCTTCATATAGCCTGACCTGCTGCTTCAGATTTTGGCTAATACTGTTTTTGAGAAGCTGCTAAATATATCAACAAAGTTGTTCAGCTGCTAACTGTGAGGTGACTTTAGTTGACGTGATATGATGGGCGGTTCTGTCAGTCAGTCCTCTCGCTTGGCTGAGCTCCTGAGGACAGCGGCTGATTTTCAGAGTTTTGTGGAGGTGGATAAGATAGAAGGCCAAGGTTGGTTTAACACATAAATACTGGCAGATCGCACAAAATGAATGAAACTGGGGTCGATTTATCGGTGCACCCTGAAAGAAAAAAAAAACAACTTTAAAAATCAAACTCATGTCTCATATTTGCAGTCAAACGTCCTCAAGGAAACTCTTTTAGAGACAGTTTGACTACAAGCGGTTCTGGTACACTAAAGAAGGGCTGACTCAAAATGAGCGCTCCAAGATGATGCATCAGAACTGGTAGGTAAAGGACAAAGCAGGCTGATATCAAGGTTTCAGAGGGCACAATTGGTCTGCTCCTTCTAGGGCCCAGTTCAACATGTCAACTACAAAGTAAACAGTGCACTACAGAAAATCTAAATAATTCAAACTCTGGGCAGTCACATTTCTTAAAAATTGATCGTAGTTTTTAAATTCCAATGAGTAGAGGTCAAAAGTGTTCAGAAAATTGAGCACATGTTCTCAAACACCCGGTCCTGTTGTCTAAACACAACTCGTTTGCACCTCTATGGGGATGTAGAGCATGAAACCTGGTTCTCCGGTATGAGTCATGCTCATCACTCTGATCCCATTAGCGTAGCCCACACTCATCTCCTGCAAATGCAAACAGGGGCAGCATGAGGGCAGGAGCACAGAACAAACGGCAAGCCGCTCATCGACAGCTTTGCTTCGACTCGTCTCTCTCACCTTGCAGAACATGGAGGGGAAGTGCTCGGGCGTCATGGAGACGTACGACAGCTCAGCCAGAACGTCCATCGCTCGCGGACCAATCAGATTCAGAGCTGAAAGAGAAAAGTTTGACGAGTAACCTTTTCAAGAGACGCAGAGAGGACATCGAGGCTCACCTGTGTACTTCCAGCTCACGTCCTCTAGGTGGAGGTGTGGGTCGTTGGGCATGTGCTTCTTTATCCAAGACCAAC